AACACAGTCCTATTTTTTTAAAAGACGCTTTACGTAGAATTATATGAATACAAATTCGACTTGAGAAAATTATTAGCCAATCAAGAGACCAAGTTAACCCCGGGTTCCGGGCTCTAGCTAGGCCGACGGCAAAGTAGGAACAGGAGTTGATTTTAGTCAGTAACGGTCTGTCCCGAAAAAGGCCGGAGATGACATTAGATGATTTCCCATAAAAAATACCGTTAATCAGCTGGCTAATCCTTAAAACTATACCTACGTAGAACTTTTACTCAAATTGTATCGATACTCGTTAAATACTTAGTCGGCACAACCCTAGCAACGGCAGCCATCTTATGCGACATTTTGGATTGTAGGTAGGCACCTTTTTTTCGTAGGTATTTCAAGTCCATATATTTCCTATGTCAATGGTTTGTTTACTTACGACTTGTGTATACTAATTAAACGTAGTGGTTACATACTCTTTGATACTAATCGTGGTTTAAATTGACTACTTTCACTCATTAACTTTGAGGATTCTCCTATCCTTGACGACTACAGCCTGATTATGGATTCTGCTCCTGCTACTCATGACGACACTGGTGATAAATTGGATTTAGTATTAGACGCTTTGGCTTACGAACCCGGCATTCAGTCTGGACTTAGTATCGACAATGTTGATTTGGTATTACACCGTACACGCTTCGACCGACGACGAACCCGGCATTTACTCTGGACCTAGTTATTCACAACAGTCATCTACTGCTGTGAGTGGTGATCTACGTTGTTTATACTGCGGTTTGAATGTATCTAGAATTCGAAGACATACTTTGGAAATCACTGAAGTTCGAAATCTTATACAACGATGGATTAGCCAGGTAATTAATGATCATATATATATTTAAAATCTCTTAGTACTTAATAGTATTTTAAAAGTACTTTATGTGCTGATTTTGTAACTGCTCTCATCTTTTCTTGTAGGTACAAGTTTCCAGTGATAGTCTAGTGTGCCATACATGTAGGACAAATGCTTGGAATGAAATGCGACATACAACAAGATTTGAGCCAATTATTGGTCATGTAAATGTATGTGTCATCACTGTGGCACATCATTTTTAAGGTAACAATCACATACATGGAATACAAACACTACTTGTGAAGCAGATTTTCAAAACATTACTGTTAATAATGAGATATAAGAGAATTCCCTGGTATACATATAAATAAGTGATTTAATATTGATTGCTTGTGACACTTATTAACTTAAGCAAGCTCGCTCATACTATGGCGAGTAAATGAGATTTACCGGGGCATACTGTATAGAAGTATGTACTAATAATAGTAATAGAACAATCACTATATTTGCACAAATCTGTTCACTGGTAACGACCAGAATCGCTAGTCGTCATGTTCGTCGCAAAAAGCTGTATATCGGTTTTAGTTGGCACTGTTGACACAGGCCATGCAGCAGTAACTGTATTGGTGGCTGGCGTACTGTAGGATGCTGTGCTTATGTCATGACCGTGATAATAATATGGTATTTAGGATGGACGAGGCATCAAAATAATGTATTTCCACCCGCACAATTTGTTGACGATGTTTTACTCATATATGGTGATGATAAACAAGAATAAATATGTAAAACTAAAGGTGTTTTGTGTTATTTTACTCCCAGTTATTATGCTTTACACTTCCACACTATAAAATTAAAATAATTATTATTTTGTTTTTTTTAACGTTACTAGTGTTGATGAAATAATAAAACCTTTAATAACTTTTAAGTGCCAAGTATTTTTGATATAATTTCTTTTACCAATTGATTATTGGAATTACCCTCTATTATAATCATGAACTTTTATTTGTGTGCACAGTGGGCCTAAATTACTATGGGGACTTGGCATTCCCCTTTTAGGGGCTTTTGGTGAAAACGGGCATAAGTCACATAATAATTATGCAATTATATTTTACTTATTACAAAATTAGAAATTGGACCTTTGTATGGAAGACACATAAACACTGTTAATAAAGAATTATTTTTACCTTTGCTTTGCAGAAGCTTAGACATAGAGGTCATTCCATATATACATGTGTTTTCTACTTTGTTGGCACGATATCCATTTCAAACAATGACTTCTATTTAAGTCAACTTGTCAACACGTATCTTGTTATCAGTAAATTATAAATTGTAGATGAATCGAGATTGATTATTTGAAAATATATATTTGTTTAACGGATGTCAAACGTCAATGCCAACGCTCTTGACTATTACAACGTTCCGTTTCTATGGTGTTAGCTGCATTCAATTTGTTTGGTAAGGGAAAAATGATCACGCAAATGCCTGCGATGTCATAGTTTTAGTTAATAAAACTAAAAGAATAATTTGTATGTAAATCCGACTTATTTTATCTTGAATTTTGTGTTATCTTTAATTTCAATTTTACTTATAACGAAACGCTCATCTGTCAATGAAGAGGACTCGGTATTTCAATGACTAACGGACGTTCGTAAAGAAAATGATTATAGGAACGGTATCTACGATTCGTATTCGGTAGTTGAAAAACGGATAGTAATGTGTATACAACGACGGTTCGTTAAATATAGGAACCGGGCATAAAGTATAATTATACTTTCTAGGTACGTAGGTACTTTGGAACGTCAAATAAAACTTAAAGATAAAAAGTGTCAGTCTGTCGGTTGATCCTCTTAGTGAAGCTATTTGCTTAACAATAAATATGCTGTCTGTTGTCTGTGAATCTCTTACGAAATTGTTAATTTAATAAATGTATTGAATTTGACTAGTTGCAAATTACTTAAGAGCCAATTAGACAGCCAATTTCGGATATACAGTAAACCGGTATGATACAACCTTTGCATTATTTCACGTGTTTGAATTAGGTTGCTGCAGACTGCCCCTTATACCATAGACAAATATGGAAGTCCATGCGACACGATATCCGCAACTTTAACGCCAATAGGGTTAAAGAAGCGATAGAGCGGAACCAAGGCTCCAAAGTGTTCGCTAGGGACATGTCTATTGGGCAAACACAGCTGACGAAGCTGAAGGCGGAGGATGGCAGTGTGGCGTCGACGAAGGCCGAAGTTTTGGGTGAGATCGAGAGGTTTTATGGACAGCTATACACATCGGTCACTAAACCTGTTAGCTCAGTCGCCGATCCAAGAGCTAAACTCACCCGACACTATACCGAGGATATCCCGGACATCAGCCTATACGAGATTAGGATGGCCCTCAAGCAGCTCAAGAACAACAAGGCGCCGGGCGAGGACGGAATCACATCAGAGCTTCTGAAAGCGGGCGGAACGCCGGTACTGAGAGTCCTTCAGAAGCTCTTCAACTCCGTCATATTCAAAGGAGCAACGCCGGCGGCATGGAGCAGAAGTGTGGTGGTACTATTCTTCAAGAAGGGAGATAATACTCTACTGAAAAATTATAGACCCATCTCACTTCTGAGCCATGTCTACAAGCTATTCTCGAGGGTCATCACAAATCGTCTCACACGTAGGTTCGATGACTTCCAGCCTCCCGAACAAGCCGGTTTCCGGAAAGGCTATAGTACCATAGACCACATCCATACGCTGCGGCAAGTTATACAGAAGACCGAGGAGTATAACTTGCCACTATGCTTGGCGTTTGTGGACTATGAGAAGGCTTTTGATTCGATCGAGACTTGGGCTGTGTTAAGATCTCTCCAGCGGTGCCATATTGACTTTCGGTACATCGAGGTTTTGAAGTGCTTATACACAAACGCCACTATGTCGGTCCAAGTACAAAACCAGAGCACGAAGAATATTCCTCTGCAGCGAGGTGTAAGGCAAGGAGACGTCATATCTCCGAAACTGTTTACCGCTGCATTGGAAGACGCTTTCAAGCTCTTGGAATGGAAAGGATCTGGCATCAACATCAACGGCGAGTACATCACTCACCTCCGGTTTGCCGACGACATTGTAGTCATGGCAGAATCGCTGGAGGATCTGAGCACAATGCTCGATGACCTCCGTAGAGTTTCTCAACAGGTAGGGCTCCGAATGAACATGGACAAGACGAAAGTCATGGCAAACGCCCATGTCACGCCCTATCCGATATCAGTTGGGAGTTCTAACCTCGAAATTGTTGACGAATATATATACCTGGGACAAGTGATCCAGCTAGGTAGGTCCAATTTCGAGAAGGAGGTCAATCGTCGAATCCAACTTGGATGGGCAGCGTTCGGGAAACTACGCAACATCTTCTCGTCCAACTTACCTCAGTGCCTTAAGAAGAAAGTCTATAATCAATGTGTGTTACCAGCGATGACCTATGGAACTGAAACGTGGTCTCTTACTGTGGGCCTTATAAAGAAGCTCAAGGTCGCTCAGCGCGCTATGGAGAGAGCTATGCTCGGAGTTTCTTTGCGAGACCGTATAAAAAACGAGGATGTCCGCAAACGAACAAAGGTTTCCGACATAGCCCAGCGGATTAGTAAGTTGAAGTGGCAATGGGCAGGGCACATAGCGCGTAGAACCGACGGCCGCTGGGGCAGAAAGGTTCTCGAGTGGCGGCCACGTACCGGCAAGCGCAGCGTAGGACGTCCACCCGCAAGGTGGACAGACGATCTGATTAAGGTCGCAGGAAGCCGCTGGATGCAGGTCGCTTCCAACCGGCCTATCTGGAAGTCAATGGGGGAGGCCTATGTTCAGCAGTGGACGTCCTATGGCTGATATGATGATGATGAGACTGCCCCTTCCCACATACATAAAGCATTTGTAAATTATAAAATACTGCTTACCGTCAATTGTTTCGTGTATTTGTCTTCCAATCTTTAACTAAATGGTATTTACCAAATGGTTTACACCAAATCAAATAAATCTTAACGATTTTGCCCTGGTAGAATGTTAGATAATGCTGTGACAATTGCCTACTAAATTAGGGATAAGATACAATATTTAAAAACTAACTTTGGTTACAGTCTGTAGGAAATGAATGTTTTTTTTTATGTACCTCTAATATTCATCTGCTACGATTACAGCAGGCAGAAGAAGACAAGAACAAGCAGTCAGCTGCCCCAGCAGAGCCCACCGCGCCCGCGGCCCCGGCGCCCGCCGCCCCTTCAGCCCCAGCGGCCCCCGCGCCCCCCGCTGCGGGCGACGCCCCAGCCGCTGCGGACCGCGTGGCGCCCCCCGCAGCGGATAACGGCAACGTCAGTGCCACCGCCGACCTACTCGGATTAGACTTCGCACAGGTTTGTACATGTCTACCTTTAGGTCTTTCAATTTTTTTATGCCATTTGTCGGCAAACATGCTGACCTGATGGTAAGCAATCAACGCCACGAGTGCGTTTCAGACCTTTTAAAGATAAAGGTTTCGGTTATTTAAGGATTGAGAACGAATGGAGAGAGGGGGAAGAATAAGCTTCCGGTAACCTCACTCATATATCGAAACACAATGCTGGTGGTTGTTTCACGCCGATTTTGTATGAGGCCGTGGTATCACTCCGATGAGCCGATCCATTCGGGTCATAGCTTGGGCTTGTTCTGCCAGCTGCTTTGCCTGCAAAACTGGGCTAAAATAATCTTAGCCCCGTTGCAGTAGGCCCATTCCAAATACAATATATTTGATATTATCTTTAACTCTCCCTGTGTCGGCATTGCGCTCACCTGTGTACTTTGTGCATTAAGCAAATAAATAAATCCTTGGTTTCGTTCAATCCCATGTTACTCGACCGAGGTAAACAATTTATTTTTATTCAATTATATAACCAAACAAGTTCTTTAGCATTACTTAATAACATTTCCAGCCCCAAGAGAGTAAGTCTGTAGAAGTGGGTAGTGGGGAGCCCGCCCCCACCCCCGCCCCGGCCCCGGTATCACACGACACCCCCAACAACGGCAACGTCACTGCCGACCTACTGGGACTGTCCGACCAACTCGCTGTAAGTAAACCTTACTCTACTTATAAAAGTATTTGTTTCACTAGCTTTTGCTCGCCACTCCGTTTGCGTGGAATAGTAACTTCCTGCAGATTTTTGATATAAAAACTATCCTATGTCCTTTCTCGAGTTTCAAACTATGTCTGTAGCAAATTTCACAGAAATCGGTTCAGTAGTTTAGGGGTGAAGAAAAGACAGGCAGACAGAGTTACTTTCGCATTTATAATATCAGTTTGGATTTGGATAAGAAAATACAGCCTTATGATAACCTGCTGACTGCACTGTTGGTGCGGTGGCTGCCGTCCAACGTGTCGCGGGTTCGATTCCCGCACGGAACAACACTTTGTGTGATTTACAAATTGTTGTTTCGTGTCTGGTTGTCATGTGTATGTGTTCAGCAGAAAATCCTAAAGTGGGGCAACGTTTTTAATTAAAAAAAACCTTATGATAGCCGGCGACTTCGCCCGCGTGGTATGTTGAGTAATATCAACCCATGTTTTAATCCAGGGTATCATCTATCTACATACCAAATTTCAATCAAATCGGTCTAGACGTTTTTGACTGACAGAACATCAAACATCGTAGGATTATTAGGACAACACAGTGCTCTTGAATATGCTATCTTACCTCTAAGGTAATAAGCAGTAAGAATTACTTACGGCCCACGAAATTGTATGCTTAATATAAAAAGACCTAATTCAAAAAGAAGTATTCCATTCTTAAAAAATATGTTTCAACTAATAATAATTTTTTATCGTGTTCCAGACTGAGGACAAAACCGCAGAGCAGACGACGACAATCAAACTCCCAACCAACGATAACGCACCAATAACCAATACGCCAATCGAGGCCAACAACGGTAACGTACAGCCGACCAACATTGGCCACATATCCGCCAACTTCATACAAACCGAACGTTTGTCCAACGAGAGCCAAAAGTTGGCCGACGTGCCCAAAATATTGGAGGACGATTTCACCACGCACAACGGTCACGGGGCCACTCACAACCACCCCCTGACACTGCAGAATGCGATCTAATCGTATCTAGCTAAGGTTGTTTATTGAATGCAGTCGGTTTTCATTGCGTATATATTGGCTGATAGTCGTGAGGTTGTGATAGTGGCATGCTATTATTGATAGTGGAGGTAGGTAGGGTATTTATATTGACAATGATTCTGTTTGGCTGCCAAGAACTTCCAAAGAATATTCCAACCAAGCGGTTTAAATATCTTTTTCATACTCCTTGGTAGTCAAATGATACACGGATAAGACTAGAGGGCAGCACAAGCTTGGCCCGTTTGTTGAAACAATATGTGTGTCTCGGTGCTTTGAATTTTGTTCACACATTATTACTATCTCTCAAAAACTATTCTCAAAAATTGTTTTTTGTTATTCATCGTTGGTGCTAGTTAACGTTTTTAGATAGAAATGTAATAGTAACAAATTATTGAACTAGACAAAGTGACCGATTTAGACTAGACGCTAGCTGAAATAGTCCATCTGCCTTAGCATTTATAAATACGGATAAATATTTTGTATGAAATCCCGAATGTTCCATAGAACTTTAAATATTACAACTAAATAAACGTTTAAATCGATTAAAAAAACTTAAAATTACATGCAAAGACTCCGCTCGAGTTCGAAACTAGTCGGGCTATCTTGAAACTTGATTTTCCATGAGGGTAACAGTTTTACCCTACGGTAACTAGGGTAAAAAACTAGAAGAATGGGCGATCTCTTCAAGCCAATATGTATGCGTGAAAACGAGGTTTGTATTTCTGTCACTCTACCAATAACTATAACACTATAAACTAAATATTTACTAGAACTATTTATTTCTACTTATATTCAAATAAAAATGCTTTCTCCTAACTATATTCAAGTCTTTATTACTTAAACACAACTTGGTTTCAGAACTTATGCCCGGCTTCCGAAAGCCCGATCAATGTTAAAATCAACTAACTAGGTGTCAAATCTCTTGTCAAGTCATCTGATTGGTTGTTGATAATTCAGTCAACCAATCAGATGACTTGACAAGAGATTAAATTGATTTTAACATTGATAGGCCTTTGAAACCGGGTTTTAATTAGGCAATATGGTCGCCTGACAGTTCACATAAGACTGACGTGACTTTATACGATAGTGGCTCCATCTACGGTCGCAAAAATGTGTGATTGTGCGAATTTTAAGTTAATTCGCGGTCCGTTTAATCTTATGTAATGAATCCGTCACATTTTAACGTAGCATTGTAATGTATAAACCAGTTTTTTGTCCAGTGTTAGATAGTAAATATATATTGAAAATAAAAACTATAACCTTTTTTTACCTGTACAATGTTCTGTCTCCGCAATAAGCTATAGAAATGAGCAAGACAGAACACATTATAAAGTTTGAAAATTCAAGTTGTGTTTTAGTAAAAAAAAAGTAGCCTATTTATTTCACAGAGTGACAGATGTAGACGAAGGCACTAAATTATTATAATAATAATAATATATCATAAATTAATGCATTTATTATAAGTTATCGCGGTAAACACTTGGTTTTACTTATTAAACTGACAACAACAATATAAGCTTATCATGTACATACGATCAATTTTGAAAGTAGTATAGGCGAGGCATCTATCCATGATATATTTCAAAACACACATATTTTACCTAGATTTATTACAATAGGAATGAAATTCTGACTTCTATTCAATGAAATAAGGTCTAAAATTAAACCGAACGTGAAACTAGTATTACTGATGGATGGAATAAACTTTTAAAATCATCAATTTTTGATGTTTTCGCTTCTACTGCTTTTCAAAACTCTGGTTGGCTAATAGTTTTACTCGAAAAACTAAGAAATATGTTTACATCATTCATTTACGAGTAATTAGTAAATTTCGTTAATTAATTTTCAATCTTATACTTTTGTATTAATGTTGAAAATGTTTTAATGAAATTTTCAATTTATCGACCGATTATTAATGTCCAGATTTCTGGACCAAAGATTTTTCCTAAATTAAAAACCAATACGCATTGTTCATAATTTTAAAATTTGTAGTCGATTCGATCGCAATAAAATAATTTAGACAACCAATATTTAGTGGTAAGATTAAATATTCAAAACAATGTGTGATTTTATTAATTGAAATATTATAATGCCAGGCCGCTAGATTTTGTTTTCTGTTACTTTAATTTTCACACTTAAACCACTCTTAATAAGACACATATTTGCAAATGTGTCTTAATTGCCGAGCGGTTCAAGTAGAATCGTAAAATACAAAATATATTTTGTAATACAGAACAAGCATAATATTTATTCAATGCTAAATGTTAGTAAGTAAAAAAGTATATTTAAAAAAACTACGACCTTTTTAGACGGATTTGTTTTTTTTTTTCATAGACGTTCTTTATTCGAAATTCCGTCTCGTCATTAGTGTTGTGTGATACGTTCTAAATAAGTTCTATTTTTTATTTATAATATAGTTTTTAATTCGCTTACTAGTAGTAATTGTGAAATTAGAAAAGCGCTGGCAATTAATGAAGGAAATGTCGGAAGAATGAATTGGTAGAAAAAGAATAATAATCATTAACAAGAAAACAATGAATTCGAGCATTTAACAGGAGTTTACGTAATTAATTTTTATTAAAAGACAAGTGATTGAGCCAAATTAGCTCTACGAAATATGTAACTAGACATCAATTGTTACACTATCAATCAACGATAGTCTAGATTCTCATTACAAAGAACGAACCAGTACCATGCATGGTTGGTAAAAAATAAACACTAGATAAAACCAAGGCATGTTCAAAATAAAATGCCGTATTTGCGAGACCAACTGCAAAATACAACAAACTTAAAGTTTGTTAATCAACATTTTCCATATTCAATAATATAATAAAAGAAATATTTACCTAAGTAAAGTGTATAGTTTCCTGTGTTTTAAATATGAATCAAGTATCAAAAACAAAGCTTAATAATACACGCACACGCATTGTTGAATATGGAGAAATAAAAGTTGAAACTTAACTCCGGAACTATAGTTTGTTTTCTAAATAAACAATATAATGTAACAGTATATATTATATTTGGAGTCGATGAAGTTATGCTTAATAAAGTTACGATAATGTAATTTAAGTTATTTAACAAGTTATATTATACAAATTTTTGTATCATAAGTAGATAGCATTCAATGTTATTCGGCTTTTTAAATGATGTTAAAGAAATGTCTAGTTATTTGATGTCGTTTCGGTTGATAAACGAGGTTACAATGGGTTGCGTTATTATTACTTTCTTCAACTGAACTAAGTATCTAACAGTTTAATAGTTATTGTATAAATTAATTATTACGTCAAATGTTTCAGTTATGTTTTCATATAAAAGTGTTGCTGACTATGTGTTAAGATTTTTAAACTTAGCGTTTCAATTCTTTTTTTATGAGTTTTCTATGGAAATGTAACTAGGACTGTCTGACCCGGGAGTTGACTCCCCCTAACTGTATATTATTCCATAATATTTTCTTTCACATAATAATAATAGTAGTTTTTTCCAATTCGACCTCTGTTCTGTGTTGAATACATTGTTATGTGTTTAGCGAAAATAATTAGTTATTGAAATGTGAAAGGGTTTATCTTGTTTTAGGGTGTAAGTCGCACTACTATTACCCTTCCCTGATTAAATACAATAATGTCGTTTGTGTATGCAAGATATATATCCCAATGTGTTCAACACACTTCAGTGGTACATTGACAGCAACTGTCACACAACTGTCAGCTTGACACATGTTTGACAGCTGTCGTGAATGTCAAATTTAACAAATCTATCATACGATTTTTGCTTGTAGGTAATATTTGTACGATTTGTGTTTTATTTTGCTTATACAACCACTTTTAATCGTTCAAATTATATAAAAAGAATCATGTAGATGTCTCACGGCCTTATAATTATTATACAAATGAGTTGAACAGAATGTCTCGTCCGCTAGACTTCTTGTGCTGTATTCTTCTGAAATTAGTTGCATCTATTTCCAGATAAACTTAGTACATTCGAATGTATCTTACGGCGGGCAAACTGTTCTGGGATGTACTTGAAAAACATTGATATTTCGTATTTAATAATTTGACAGTAACGAAGACATTCGTAGATATAATCTTGCCAACTTGTTATCAATGAAATTGGAACTCGAGATAAATTTCAACTGTCATATTGTTCGGTATGGATGTTGAACAATGTTTGTTCAAGTATATCAAATGTATAATTTGTAATATTTTATTAAATTAACCAGTGTGACAGGTCGCCCTCGATGCCAAGTCGACCCTCATGTTCCATACATAGTCTGAATGTTATAATTATAAGTTTAAATGAGTTGACGAACGCCACATGTTGCGTATAAAATACATACTATAGGTACAGTGAACGCGACAAGAATACCAAAATAAGCTAGTCGAAAAAATATTATGTAATTATTGAAGAGATGTGCTATTAAATTATTTTCAAATTCAAACTAAATTTTTCGTTTTTAAGTTATGTAATAGTAGCATTAGTGAAACAAGTATGGCGGCCTGTCACACTGCACTCGCGCATGTATGTGTGTGTGCGTGTGTTTGTTGTAAGTGTGTGTGTAAGAAAGAGGTCCTCATCGGTACGGTAAGTCGTTGATGGCGATGTGTTTGTTATCATACATAGGTGGGCAAGGCTTTGTGCGTTATGTAACTACTGTATTACGTTTATAAACATCATGGATTTATTAAATGAAACAATTTTAATACGAAAAATAAATACAAAGAAGTTATTTTGTGTTTTTATTGACTTTTTTTCCCTGGGTTTAAAGAGATAAGAGAAAATATTGAAAGGATTAACTGTTGATTTACCTTGTGTTATAAAGCATAATTTGATATTACAAACAGTTTATAACTAATAGTTTTAAAATGCAAAGTCAAAACATACAATTAGGCGTATAAAAACTATACTCATAGTCCATATTGAAGAAGTTTATAATAAATACCTACCATTTGTTTGACGGGGGATAATCATAAAATGACTTTAAGGAGAAGGATTTATATTCAGGTTCCTACTAACGAAAAACCAGCCCGTTCCTTATGCAGGCCGAGGCCGCGGTACCTTATTACCTACGTTCTGTTCAAAGGATAAAAAAAATATATTAATAATAATATATATCTACCACTTACGAGACGTATGTAATTAAATAAATCTAAAAGATACTGAACCATTATTACCAGACCGCAACTAAAAATTACCGGAGCCCCAATCCTTCCGCTCCCCCAATCCCTAAATCTCCAAATTCCTAATCCCTAAAAGGTCGCACTCGTAACTCCTCCGTTGCGGGTGTCCACGGGCGGCGCTGATTGCTTACCTTCAGGTAATCCATCTGCTCGTTTGCCGACATATTACGTAAAAAAATGCAGTCTGCTAAATTGTTTATTTTTATGTGATTATATTTTGAACTGCATAATCTATGCATTTTGTGCCATCGTACTTATTGTCCCATGTTAGATTCTCGCTCAAATAGACTGGTCAAACGGTTTGAGGAAATAAAACTAAACAATTTAAAGGAGATATTAACATACCTATACAACTCACATATTTCAAAATCGTATCGGCTCCGCCGCTTAAAATCAGATGCGATATTTTTTTTCTTCACTGTTCCAACTTGTACCTATTGTGACGTGGCGCTGAAGGTAAGTATAACAAAATCTCGGCGGTGAAAGGGTTTAAATCAGTTGCGATGTTTTTTTTTTCTTCAGGGCGAGACCTAAAGGGTCTTTAAGGTGACAAAAGACAAGGGAGTGCAGATGTTTACCTCATTAAAACCTCCTTGATGGTTACTATCACCACCTATAAGGGAAACCTGGTCCTCTCTAGAAAGTCCAGTGCGGATAAGTGCTCTAGCGCATTTTGGTAGTTAAGCCAAAAAATGTAGGTCCAATTTGTGGGGTGTTTTTTTTATAAAGAGGCAGACAGATCACCTAATGGTATCTAAGTGATCAGCGCCGCCCATAGACACCATGGACACAGGCGACACCAGAGACTTAAAAAGAATAGGTACGCACATTTCTTGAAGGTTTAAACGAAATACCACCGCCTGAAGATCTTTCCAAAGATTTGCTGTGCGAGGCAGAAAGTTTCGCGAAAATTGCACAGTCGTTGACTGCCAACCATCTATATGGTGGGATGAAAATGTTTTCGCGTGGGTCGATGGCGAAAAGATACGGTTTTTTTTGTGAGGGGTAAATCACCAAATGACTTCCCCCGCCCATGGCTGGGCGGGAGGGAGTGTCAGACTCTTACTGACTAAAAACCCCCCTGTTCCTTCTCCTGCTTTGGGCCGAGGTCGCGGTGCCTCATTGCGCTTATCCCGCAACCCCGGCTGAACACCAGCCCTTTAGGGCCCCGTCTGTGGTGGTGTATTGGCTCTTTGAGGCGCGCGCGGAACGCTACGCGCCGTACGCTCGGGCCTGGCTCTGGTCGGGCGGCGAGCTGCCCTTACTCGCCGACCGCAGACCCGTGCTTACGGTGGCCGGAGATCGTCCCTCGATCCCCGACGTCCGTAGTGTCGCCAGTTGCGGCGCTGGGGCGTGAGGAGGAGGAGTGCTCCCTCACGCGGGCCGCCTCTCTATTTGCGAGCATGACTGCTTCACAAAAGGAGGAGACGGCGTCCCAGTTCCTCTCACTCCGCACCATGGCCTCGACTAAGGCCGGGCGCGAGAGGTCGCCGCCGCCGATCACTTCCCTGAGGATACGGCGGTGCTCAGCCCAGGCAGGGTATACCGCTACCGTATGCTCCACCGTATCATCTAGGTGGTCCTCACAATGACGACACTCGGGCGTTTCCTCCCGCTGGATCCGAAACAGGAACCTACCGAAGCTGCCGTGCACCTGCGTCAGGCGAAAGGCGAGGACGCCGTGGCGTCTCTCAAGCCACTCCTCAAAGAGGCCGAGGCCGAGGCGTTCGCCGCCTCACCGGAGATCGTGCGATACCCGCGGATTATCCGGATAGCCATGACCATCTGGGACGCGAGCAATGTACGAGCTGGCCGCCGCCTCAAGTCCGGCGCCCACACAGGGGCCCCGTAGAGGGCCATGTATCGCACAATCCCCATATACAACCTCCGGCAGGAGGCGTTTGGCCCCCCGAGGATTGGGAAGGAGCCGCTTGAGCGCGGCCCCAGACCGTTCCAACTTAGGAGCCAAACGACGGAAAAGATACGGTGGGGATTAAACCGAACAATTCCTCCTCTCCGTGCACGTGGTATCTATAGGTGATCGATTATTAATCATCATAAGCTGCACATAAAGAGGTGTTAAAATCGATTTCAATTAATAGTGTAGTAAAAAAAATTGTGATAGGTATTATTATTTGATATAATAATAATAATAAATATCCGCAAGGCAGCTTGTGGCGAGCTGTTGGGCAGTGGCGACCCCACGGACCTGACTTCCGGGAGGTGTCTTGTTCTTCTCTCTCCGGTTAGTCCTCGTGACTAGCTGGAGTGAACACTGATGAGGAACAAGCCCTCTCACCTCATTCTTGCCTTAATTGGCTGGCTTGAGTGAAGATTCGCAAGAGTAGGAGTTGAAGGAGACTCGGGGGAAGGATGTATGTCAGTAAGATGCTGCTAGGGGTCTTGACCGTACTTCCGGGATTGCTCTGATAGCCGTGGGATGCCTCTCCTTCCCAAAGCAGCTCAACGTATGTTGCCCCCGTGTCGCTACATGCTAGCGGCCGTTTCCGGGGGCCCATTAATTGAGTTTGCCAGTCACCCCCTGCCTGTTTATCCGTATGTATCAATATTGGTCAGGGGCAGGGGCCATAGTATTTCCATAGTTTTCATCCACTTGTCCATAGCAACCCATACCCATAACCTTATAAATTTTTACCACATTTCGCAATAGTCCTCCATCAACCGGGGATTGTCCTTGGGTGCACTTTCATATTGCATACAGGGATAACTGCCGGCTGATGTCCCATTTCACTTATATTAAAGTTGTTCAAAGGGCCTCTGCGAGTTGGCTTCGGCCCCTCGTACGCCTTCCAAAAGTCCGGGACCCTGTGGTCCCGTGAGTGGAAAGGAACATACATAATAATAATATTTTTTTTTTATTTCTATATGAAAAGTACACATTACAAACAAAACACTATGCACTAAGTACTCATAGGTTAACAAAAAAAATGTTGAACACTGGCACTCAAGGTATGATTTAACTTAAGTTTTGAGCACCAGGGCCCTCGCAATTCTAATGATTTAATAATATTACCAAATATTACATACAGTTTGTGTGAGTTTGCATGAAAATATCTAAAATAGTATGCTATTCCAAGGCAAATAAAATTAAAAAGTTATTTCTATATTAGGCTTGTGTGCACGCGCGCGCGCGCGCGTCGTTGTGTGTGTGTGTGTGTGTGTGTGTGTGTGTGCGTGTGTTTGTGTGTGTGCGTGTGTGATGCAGGCGAGATGCTAGAGTGAAAGTATGAAAGTATGGGTGTATGTGAGGTACGTTATAATGTAAAACATTAACCCTATTACAGTATTGTTAAGTTTAGCAGGTCTTCAGTTTCAGCATAGGTTTTAGCTAAGAGCCATTGAGATACTTTTTTTTTGCATTCAAATCTAGACAATGGATAAATGTTACAGTGTTCATTTATGAGGTTCTTGGATAGCCAGTGCATTATACGACTCAAAGTGTGCTCGGCTCTAGTGAACACTTCAACCCAATCATTTCCACTTACAAGCAAAGCAGTGTCGTCAGCATAGCTACAGATGGCACAATTAGGGATGTTAAGTTTACATAAGGAGTTAATGTAGAGGAGGAAGAGAGTAGGGCCCAGGACCGAGCCCTGCGGCACACCGAAATTCAGAGAGGCATTCTTACTAATAAAAGAGTCTATTTTTACTGATTGTGTCCTCCCAGAGAGATAATCACTGAAAATTCGGAGAGCATATCCTCGAATTCCCATAATTTCCATCTTTGTCAAAAGGAGTGGAACAGAGACAGTATCGAATGCTTTTGTAAGATCAAGGAAGATACCTAGGCATTTTTGTCTGTTATCGAGACAGTCAACTACTCGATCGACTAGATAAGCCACAGCATCCTCCGTTGATTTTCCATTTCTGAAACCGAATTGGTTTGATGCGATATAATATTATTGTCCCTTTACTGACAGTAGGAAGTAAGTCTTTATTGAGTGGCCAGTGGTGGTAGCATTTGCTTTTCGTCCTCCATTTACCTATCCACTAAATTAAAGAGTAAAAAGTCCATTGTATGATCTAATTTGCCTTTTATTTAATTAACTTATTAAATAATAATATCGAATATAAATGCCATTACATAACCGACCAACTAAAGGGTATCTCAATTCCAAGGAGTAAAATGAAGCAACATTAAAATTGACAACTGCGTATATTAATTTCACTATTGTTATAATACAGTTTACATTTTGCCAGCCCTTACAAAATGTGAAGATAGTTTTACATAGGTAATTCATTAATTTATACAAAACATTTGTAATTTTATTAAAACAACAGTTATAAACGCTAAAATAACTACGAAATTGTCATAACAAACAACTAGGTATTCATAGGCGTTTTAAAACGTCGTAGGTAGTCATAATTTTAATTGTATAACTTATTTTTATAAGTATACAAAAATTGATAAGAACTAAAGATAAAAATGTAGATAAACTGTTAACTTATCATTTTGCAAATTTAAAATGAAATAAAGTATAACTAAACAATAATGTTCATTGTATATTTATAAAACAACTCAAATTAATAATTGTAAACAAAAAAAAAACAAAACAAAAAAATAATAATATAACACAAAAATAATGTTGTGATTAATAATAAAATGGATATCTGTATTAAGAATTCAATCTACATTTTAATTATTTATAATTGAAAATACTCGCCAAGAGCTATCTACTGTTTATTTTAATTATATTTTATATTTGTTTAACAATTATTAGGAAATGTAATATTCAGATTTGACATCGATAAAAATATAAGAATGCATATCATTATATATAATTTATTCATTTCATTTAGAGATACAACATTTTAATAAACATAGAATTAAGTTATTCTTAAACAATATAAAACATATTTCAACAATAGACATTTTGAGAAATGTGATAACAAAAAACATAGACATTTTAAATATTCAGGTACATATATAACAAGTAAGTAATAAAACAAAAATTGAATGAAAGTTAATTATTTAGGCCTTTATTTATAATTGTACATAATACTTAAAAATAAAAACCTACAACTTAATATTACTAAGTTTTGTCAAAACAATTCAAGTTGTAATTTATGAAAATAATAATTTAAGATGTTGCTGTCCGACCATCGGAACCACGGCATTTCTTTTAAATTAGTAAAAATAGACACATGTCAACTAAAAATAAAAACAATATAAACGAATAATACAATAATTCTGCCGTTGAAATACATTTTAAACAAATTTATATTTAAAGTATAATTATTAACAGTTTCAATTTGACAATATTAGTATGTATATATTTATATAATTAGTATTTTTTATAGATATTTACTGACTAGAACTTCTTATATAACAAACAGTGAAAACAACGCTAAAATAAGCCTCGTAATTATTGGCAAGAACTTCTTACACATAGGATATGTTGAAAAGGTAAGTCTTTCTCAAGAAGTAGGTAGCGTTTTAATTATATTTTATTTATTTATTTATTAGTTTATTTTAATACTTGTATTGTAATCAACGTTTGAAGACACTTAGTTTGTTACGTCCGACTCGGAACTGGTATCTGTAACAGGAAAATTTACATAAATTAGACAACAATGCTTATGCACAAAACTGTCTTTGCTCCGCCCTGGGTGAGGCGAGAGGGATTGTCAGACTGTTTCTGACTAGAAACTACTCTGTTCTTTCTCCTACTTCAGGCCAGGGCCGCGGCACATTACTGCGGAACTCATGTAAGCGGCTTCTTTTAATAATTTAGGATATGTCATAAGACCTCCCACAATATTGAAAAATGTTCGAATTACCAAAAATATCTCTTAAATTTGTCTAGGAATGGGACTCCTTATTCGTAGGTCGCATTTGCGAACGAAACACAAATCATTAATAATTTCTAGTAAAATAATAGGTCTTTACCTATGAAATTGCCGTTCTGCAGTACCTACTGGCCAGTACTGCAGAACGGTAAGGACCTATTTTTAGGGACTATTGATCACAACGTTGGTCGTTTAAGGAGGTGTAATGATTTCGCAATTCAAGAACAAGAACAAGAATGTACATATTAATAATATTATGTTACATTACACTGAGTAATCACAAGCAAATTTATAGTAGGTACTACAAATTACGGGTAACTAAAGAAAATTAAAAATTATCCATTGCTTGGAAAACCCCATAGATTGTAAATGTGAGTTTGGAATAGTTTTTCTAAGCTGTAAAAGAGTGTAGCAGTAGTTATCAAGAACCAAGAATCCAAGTCGCAAGAACAAAAAGAATCATTTAATTATGTTAGTTTACGAAAGGAATATTATTATTAATCAGATAATATTATTAATTAGAAGTGAGAGATTACACAAAACTATTTATTTAATAAAAATCTTTACGTTAGTACCTTTTGGAAAGATTTCGAGTCAATATAGCCGACCTAATATCTGAAAAATTAATTATAAATGCATGAATAATGGACGGATCAAAAGAATCATACATATATACATACAATGTGTGTCTAAACCTTTTGACATTTGACTTGACCCTTATTGCAACGAATTATTACTAATAGTACCTACAATCGGAAATCAGGAATAACAAGGCTTCAGTTTAGATAACAAAGACTCTAAGATTATTGTCAATCAATATAAGACTCGTGACTTGAAACCAGAAGATTTTTCACAGTTAATCACGTGAATTAACTGTGAAAAATCTTCTGGTCGAAGAAAGTCGTTATTTTACGGTAAATTTTGTATAATTCACGAATTAATGTTACTATAACTGTACAAAAATAGACATTATCAACAACGATTTCTGCATTTGTAATTTGTTCGGTAATAATGAAGCTCTTTATAGTGCTACGAAATATCGTAGCGCTACGTACCTGCTACAACTGCTAAACTGCGTAACAGTTACTTTGGCAGTTGATATTATCATGCGCTAATTGATCATATCAAAGATTTTTGTAATAATAATGTGAGAAGCATCCTATAAGTTAAGGTTTCATTTACCAAACTCTAAGTGAACGCCGGCGTTCGCCTATTGTGTCTCGAATTACCACGATTAAAAGGATAAGTAACTGCGTTAATTATTGTAATTATTTAAATGATCAATTTTTATTTTAAATATTTCTTCAACACATACTTACTAAACTGATTAAATTTCTTGTTGGTATTAAAAAATATACCTATATCTTTAAAATGAGTTCTTGTATCGTGTAAACTTTATTGATGATAGCTATTTTGTAAATGATAATAAAAACTAACCTTCAGTCCACTTCTTGCCTCGCATTCCGAAAAAGCCCATCTGAGCCTTTCTCTTAGGCAGGGGTCCGTTTTGGTCGACCAAGAATTTAATTTCATGAGGGCCACTGTTTTTTAGGTCTTTTTTGCCCCTGACGCCGATGAATTTGCCGCGGAAGCTCAGGTTGTTTAGGGATTTCTTTCCTCTGACGCCGTAAAATTGGTGCATGTTAGCCGCTCGCTTCTCAATTTCATTGCTCGATTGGTCAGCATCAGATTCTGTTGATTCCGCGATAATGTTTGAGGGGCTGTTGACCTGCGAGATGTAGTGGAGTAGGAGTTCGTTCAGAAGGGGGAAATCAGAGACATTGGGGTTCTCGCTTGACGAGTAATCTATCTGGCCTATCAGAGAGCCATCTCTCTTGAGGTACAACTCATTGCTGTTGAAGTCTGGGAACCTCTGCTCTTTCTTGCCTCTCATTCCTAAGAACCCCATAGGAGCGCGCTTGTAGAATTCTTCAGGGACCTCTAATATGTCTTGAAGGCTCTTTTTCCCTTTCACACCGACGAAGAATTGAGGTTTTCGTTTGTAGAACTGCTCGGTGCCATCGTCTTCGAAATATTTCTTCCCGCGCATGCCGAGGAAGCCTTGGGGCACGCGCTTAGACATTTCTTGCGCGTAGGCCAGGGATACCAGTTGGATGGTGATGAAAATTAGGCAGGCTCTTGGGGCTCCCATTTTTGAATGATCTGAAACAATCGAATTGGAGCCATTAATTTTGCATTTTCAAAAAATTGTATTTAATATAGTTTTATAGTATTTAGTATAGATTCTGTCAGGTTATCGTTTTGGATTTGGATGATAAACTGTTTTTTTGAACATTCGAAACTTCTTATAATACATGTTTATTATTTACATAAAAACTAATATATCGCACTACCCGTGTAAAAAAGACGTAAGTGAACTTGCGTCAAAATTTTTTTATTACGTAAATAAAACGAGCATCACGGTTTACACCTTCTGTCAAAATTTCATGAAGCTATTTACAAAAATGAAGGAATAAATGCAAAAAAACTAAAATTTTGCGACTTTAAAAAACATAAAAATCCAGCATAAAATAGAGGTATGCATATTTACATTTATTCGCTTTATAATTTATCCTGCTAATAAAGCCATAATAAAGTTTACGTAAATTTTAAAAGAAGATTTACAATAAACTCTATAACGCAAATATAAATAATGACTTGTTCCTGTTTTTTTACAATCTAGGACTATTGTGTAATTGTAATTACTTATTTCTTCTACAAAACTTTTAGCTAATAGTTTATGTGTGATTATAGTTACATACTTTCTACCCAGCAAAACTTCACAACGTGTTAAGTGTAGTTGCAGTTACTTCTTTATTACGCGAAACATTTTATAAATGATGTTAAGTGATTTTGAATACCTGTTTTTACAAGAAAAAGAAATAAAAATAAGTTTGTGAAATTGAAATGAAATAAAAAAAATAGTCTGATTTAGTGTCGTATATAGTAAAAAGTACTTATTGGATGTATTGCACCGAACAACACAAGTCGCCTACACCGCATTGTGCCTACACCGGCTCGCGGGAGATTTCCATTATAAACGCAAGTACCTAAGTACCTCTCACCCGAACGGCTATAACTTAATAGTCGATGCTCCTATTGGCTCATCAGAAAATTGCCTCGTCCGGAGTATGGTGCCTTGTGTGGGCGCGCCGCGTATCCAAGCTGCTCGTGGACGCCGCGTATGGCACTGCAGGTCAGCGGATTGGGATGGCATGAGATCCTTCTTTGCATCCTACCCTTGGAGACGAGTTTGTTTCTCGCAGAATGATCCCAACGCTGCTGCTGACTCTCTTGCTGATGTGGTGTTGCAAGGGATGGAACTCTTCGTTCCGTCCTCTGTGGTTCGGCTCTTCTTCTAGAAAAGCTTCGTGCATAAAGCAAAAGCCTTACCCAGCCTTGGCTGATGCGGTGGTGGCGCGGGATCCAAATAAAGTTTAAAAAGGAGTATAACTTTGCCTCCAGGTCCTTCAAAAGAGTCATAGCGGGTCCAAGTCAAACCATATCGGTAGGGTTGGAGAGAGGCTTGAGCGCCTTTTTTCAGGAACTCGTGCGTTCTGGTCTCTTGCCAAAGCTATCAAAGGCAATTGCTGCAGACCATCATTCTCATCTCTGCACGTGGGGGGAGAATCATTGGCGCACGACGCAAAGGAAAAAGCTCAGCTTTTGGGTAAATTCTTTGCGTCAAATTCGACATTGGATGGCTGGGGCGAAAGCGGCCGGTTCTGCCATGGCACGGGTGTAATGCCGGATATTCGGTTTCACCAATGCTCGGTACGATTGGCGCTCATGTCTCTTGACATCCATAAGTCGAGTGGGTCTGACGAAATTCCACCCATTATGTTAAAGTTGTGCGCTTTAGAGTTGGCACCAGTCTTAACACGTCTTTTTCAGGTCTCATACTCTTCAGGCGTAGTCCCGAAATTATGGAAGACAGCTTTGGTCCACCCGATCCCTAGAAAAGGTGATCGCACAAATCTGTCCAATTACAGACCGATAGCCACAACTTCCCTCTTCTAAAATTATTTAATCATCTATTAACTGCCAGCTCCTTCGGTACTTGGAGGATTATCAGCTTCTTAGTGACCGACAGTACGATTTCCGTAAGGGCCAGTCCGCTGGTGATCTCCTAGTTTACCTGTTGGGTACAGGCGATTGAGTCCAAGGGGGCGATTTTAGTCAGTTTGGACGTAGCGAAGTCCTTCGATCGGGTTGGGCATAAAGGGCTTTTTTCGAAGCTGCCTTCCTAATGAGCTTCCCGAGAACCTGTGTAAATGGGTATCAAGCTTCCTTGCAGACAGAAGCATAAAGGTCGCGGCGACGGTGAATACTCTGATTGATTGTCTGTGAATGCTGGTGTCCCTCACTCTGTTCCTCCTACATATCAATCATATGTTGGATGACAGCAGGGGCACGCCTCTTACGCTGGCCGTGCTAACATTTCTTGGGAAAAAGTCATCGAGAGTCGAAACAGACTTGTCTGAAATCGAGACTTCTTTAGAGAGAATCTCAGATTGGGGTAGACTTTACTTGGTTAAATTTAACCGCACAAAGACACGGGTCTGCGTGTGCACAGCTAAAAACCTGCCGTTGGTCGTATCTCCTCAAATTTTGAGCACCCCCCTCACAACCTCGGCCGGTATTGGGATACTTGGCGTTGACATATCAAGCGAAGTCCAGTTCCGCAGTCATCTAGAGGGTAAGGCCAAGTTAGCCTCGAAAAACTAGGTGTGGTCAATAGATTGAGGCAGTATTTCACCCCGGGGCATCCCCTGTTACTTTACAAGGCGCAAGTTCAGACCCATATGGAATACTGGTACAGCTTCTCCCCAGTAACAGCTTCTAGACAGCATTCAACGGCTAGCTGTCCGAATTGTTGACTGCCCCGTTATCTTGGACCGGTTGGAATCTTTGGCACTGCGTAGGGATGTAGCCTCGTTATGTGTTCTCTATCGCATTTACCACGGGGAGTGTTCTGAGGACTTGTTCGATTTAATCCCCGTCGCTTCTTTAGCCAACGTCCTACGAGAAAGCATTTTCATCCCCATCACATAGATGGTTGGCAGTCAACAACTATGCAATTCACGCGAAACTTTCTGCCCCTCACAGCAAAACTTTGGAATATGATCTTCCGGCGGCGGTATTCCCGAACCGATTCAACGTCCAAACCTTCAAGACACGACCGTACTCCTTCTTAAAAAGCCGGTAACGCACCTGTGTCTGTTCCGGAAACGCACCGCTGCCTGTGTGGAATGTGGAATGAATGACTTCGGTAAGAAACTTAGTTGGAGTAAAGTTAAAGAGATTTCGGTATATCTTTAATGTCCGGAAAATTATACAAAGACTCGATAGTTCTATGTAGAGATAATAACATACCTCCACACTACCAGACTTTTTTTTTGCGAGCGTTTTTTTGCGAGTGGGAAATCGTCAAATGACTTTTCCCACCCAGGGCCGGGCGGGAGGGAGTGTCAGACTCTTACTGAATAAAAACCTACCCGATTGTTCTCCTGCTCTGGGCCGAGGTCGCGGTGCCTCATTGTGCTTACCCCGCAACCTCGGCTGAACATCAGCCCTATAGAGCCCCGTATGTGGTGGTCTTTTGGCTCTTGGAGTATCGCGCAGAACGCTACGCGCCGTACGCTCGGGTCTGGTTCAGGTCGGGCCGCGAGCTACGCTAACTCTCCGTCCGTTGCGGTGGCCGGAGATCATCTTTCGATTCCCGATGCCCGGAATGTCGCGGGGGGGCTGGGGCGCGAGGAGGATAGTTCCCTCACGCGCTCCGCTTCCTCCTTTGCGAGCATCACTGCTTCGCAGAAAGAGGAGACGGCTTCCCAGTTCCTTTCGCTACGAGCCATGGCCTCGACTAGAGCCGAGCGCGAGAGTTCGAAGAGCTTAAGTATTCAATCTGCTGCCAGCGAGTCTGATTCCGAAATTGAGGATAATTAATAAAGGTCAACAAAAATATCACAATTTTAAACATTTCTTGATTAATTATGTATGTGATAAACATTTTTTTAATAATAAAATTTTAGTAATAACCCATTATTGATCGTAGAATACCCCTCATTGTTTTCATTTTCTCTCAATTATTTTGTTTCAGGATTTACAGTTTTGCCAAACATACACTATTTACTATAAGAATTAGGTATTGTATGATACAAATTTAATATTCGGTTACTTTCCGCATTATAAAAGCAATTTTTATAAATACACCTACTAAACTTAATTAAATAGCTAGCTAAAAATACGTAACTCTATTTACAAAAAAGGATTTTTCGTTAAATAACAACGTGATTTCACTTACAACTCTAGATTACAACGAAATATAAGAGAATGCAAAGCCGTAAGTAGAGTTAAATTTGTTAATATATTTAAAAATACAATAATAAAAAGCAATAATTGTAGTTACTCCTGCAAATATGCGATGTGTTCCGTGGAATAAAGAAGTAACCGTATTTTTTTAGATTATCTCGAAGTACATCAATCTTTTCCCCAATTAAATAGCACGTGTAGTTGAAGGCAACTGTGACCTGCAATTTTCTCTTTGAAACATATTTCTAGACCTCATAATAAAAATATAGGACAGTTTTTTTAAGCTCCTGAAAAGTTGGTGAAAATCACTTACTTCCTTTTTACACGAATGGTGCGATATAAGTAAAATTATAGTGTGGTTCAAAGTTATTTCTATATTGATACTCATAATATGGTTTTGCCATACCTATTATGAGTATCATCATCGTCAGCCCGTTGTCGTCCACTGCTGGACAAAGGCCTCCTCAATTATGATCTGATAATGACATGACAATGATAATCCTATTATGAGTATAGGTACGTATGAATATGGTAAAAAAATAATTGCTAAGTTATTATATTGCGCAAACCGAACCACTATCATTATATTTTAATAGTCAACATATAATTATTCTATTTATATTTTACGCACTGGCCGATTATAAACCTAATCTTTACGACATTCTTAAAACATTCTAACCTTGACACCACACGAGTAGTTTTTAAAACGAAACTTAGGCAAGTGGCTCCCATGGGAGGCACTTGTATACACAATAACATGTTCAAGCATAGTTCATGCAAAATTCATGTTATTAACAACAGTCATGCCAAGTTGTAATTTTTAACGCAGAGAAAGGCTTTTATGTATT